TCTTGTAGTGTGGGGCCCAAAACTGGACACAGTACTCCAGATGAGGCATCACCAATGTTGAATAGAGGGGAACGATCACGTCCCTCGATCTGCTCACTATGCCCCTACTTATACATCCCAAAATGTAATTGGCCTTCTTGGCAACAAGGGCACACTGCTGACTCATATCCAGCTTCTCCTCCACTGTCACCCCTAGGTCCTTTTCCGCAGAACTGCTGCCTAGCCATTCGGTCCCTAGTCTGTAGCTGTGCATTGGGGTCTTCCGTCCTAAGTGCAGGACCCTGCACTTATCCTTATTGAACCTCATCAGATTTCTTTTGGCCCAATCCTCCAATTTGTCTAGGTCCCTCTGTATCCTATCCCTGCCCTCCAGCGTATCTACCACTCCTCCTAGTTTAGTATCATCCGCAAATTTGCTGAGAGTGCAATCCACACCATCCTCCAGATCATTTATGAAGATATTGAATAAAACTGGCCCCAGGACCGACCCCTGGGGCACTCCACTTGACACCGGCTGCCAACTAGACATGGAGCCATTGATAACTACCCGTTGAGCCCGACAATCTAGCCAGCTTTCTACCCACCTTATAGTGCATTCATCCAGCCCATACTTCTTTAACTTGCTGACAAGAATACTGTGGGAGACTGTGTCAAAAGCTTTGCTAAAGTCAAGAAACAATACATCCACTGCTTTCCCTTCATCCACAGAACCAGTAATCTCATCGTAGAAGGCGATTAGATTAGTCAGACATGACCTTTCCTTGGTGAATCCATGCTGGCTGTTCCTGATCACTTTCCTCTCATGTAAGTGCTTCCGCAAGGTGAGTAAGTACAGGGCCAGGAGGTGAGGGAATATAGGATCTGGAAGGCAGGGAAGCAACCTCGTAGACTATGAGGTGCAGACAGCTGCTTTCCCACCTTTGAGATCCTATATTTAGAGCCCTGTGCAAATACAAAATTTGTTTATGCATCCAATCTGCAAAAATGGTCTGCAGATATCCACATCTGCGGATGCGGATATAAAGCTGATATCCATGGATTTGCAGGACTCTGTACGTGTTGATTGTGGCATCACATGTATCAGGAAAGATACAACCAAACAAATCACAAACATGGACAGCTTAATTAACTTCAGTGTAGGGAAAGGATGACAAAACTGGGGCTAAATTCTGACTTGGTTTAAGCACACATTAAAGTCAGTGGACTTGCACCTGCTTCCACCATGTCTGAAGTTGGACTTTAGTTTTACCATGAAAAAATGTGCATTTGTAATACTGACAGACCCTGGTCATCATCAAGCGGGATTAAACCTGGGACCTCTGGAGCTAAATGCATGAGTTTCTAGTGCAAGGATCAGCAACCTCTGGCACGTGACCCACCAGGGTAAGCCCCCTGGAGGGCTGGGCCAGTTTGTTTACCTGCTGCGTCTGCAGGTTCGGCCGATTGTGGCTCCCACTAGCCACAGTTCGCCGTCCTAGGCCAATGCGGGCTGTGGAAAGTGACGGCCAGCACATCTCTCAGCCTGCACTGCTTCCTGCAGCCCCCATTGGCCTGGAGCGGTGAACCGCGGCCAGTGGAAGCTGCGACTGGCCAAACCTGCGGACGCGGCTGGTAAACAAACTGGCCTGGCCCGCCAGGGGGCTTACCCTGGCGGGCCATGTGCCAGAGGTTGCCGATCCCTGCTCTACTGCATGAGCCGAAAGCTCCAGGGCTCTGCTAAGGCTGTAGCAGACACATTCATCTCTAAGTAGTCTTGGTGCCACTAGAGGGGACCGAACACCACTCCCAGGAGGTGTGTGGGTTACACATTCTCTTTCTTTTAAAAAAATACAACTACCAATAATCTCCCTCCTGCCCTTAACCTCCACATTCTCATGGCCTTAACTTCCCCTCCTTTCTCTTCTGGGTGCTGTGTAATCTCACATCTGCCTGCTCCACTCTACAAAGATTGCTTTCATTAAGTATACTCATGAGTTGCCTGTAGCCAGATCCAAGGAGCTCTTCTCCAACATTATCATTCTTGATCTATCTGCTGCCTTCGACAGTCAACATCCCCTATCGATCTTCCTTGACTTTCTCCTCTCTGTGGATTTTCAGTCTAACTCAGGATCTGCTTTCATGGCTTCATTTACTGTGTCTACATTCATGACTCTCAAATCTACATTTCAACAAATGGCATCTGAGATCTCTGGCTTCTCTTCCTGGATGCGGGGAGGGAAGACATGGCTATAGCTTCCTGACACTGCCTGGCCCCGAAAAGGAAGTGAAAAGAAGTGCACAATACAATCAGCATAACTTAATATCTCTCCCTGGGTAACACTTGGCCTCCCATATTCCCACCGCCACCCTCTGTTTATGGCATCACTTGCTATGTTATGTCTAATTTATAATTTTAGCCCTCCAGGGCAGGGTCCTGTCACTTCTTTATTTGTTTCTAAAGTGCTTTGCTCTACACGGGGGCCTGTATAAATATTAAATTCTAATAATATTCAGCAAGCAAACTTGTCCTTTACATTAATGTAATTATTTTTCACAGCATCAAGAATGGCTTTCCAAACTCAGTTACTTTTCTCCTGTTGCTAAACTTTGCCACATTGATAGGAGTAATGCTACCATTCAAATGCAGAAAAAACATATTTCTATATACTACTCAGAACACTAAATGAGATTTCATCTGTGCCCTTAATTAATATCATCCTCACATGGAAATTAGAGGATTTAACCCAATACTGGTTTTTGTTTAGTCTGCTATTCTGCTGGAAAAGCTTACTGAGATCTGTAAAAACTGCCACTGCCCTTAAGAGAATGTGTGCATACATTTAATTCCAAAATATGCTTGTTTCCCTCTAGTATAATCACAGGGTCCTGATTTTAATATTGATTTTTGCTTGTAATTCAATACTGTGCTGGGTCAGCTTGGTTTTATTCCCATGCAAAGCACTGATACTATAACCACAATGCAAATAAAATGTGTTATCTTAGTTGTGGATTCTGAATAAATATCTTAAAAAGTAAGTAACTCCACTGTACAAACATCATTCTTTCACATGGCTTGGATAGGTAGCAACGATCACAAATTTATATCTAGATTTGATAGCCAGCACATTGCTTCAGCAGTGAGCTGGTGAATATATTTCAGGCCTCTGACGAAAGAACGAAGGGGACACTAAGGTCTGATGTGCTACATCATTTGTGCCTGGTGACCACAGTCACAGACAGAAATTTGGAGCAAGATGACAACCTGCATGTGGTGCTCTTGTTAAGTGTCAGTGTTTTTTGCGCTTTGTTCAAATTCACTAACATACCAATGTCTTCAATTGGCCACTGGACACTGCATTACCAACCTTGAAGAGAAAATAGCAACTATATGTACATACACGCACACACACACACATATATGCAATTAGAGCAAGTCTTACTTTATGTCGTAAAAATATGGAATAGGGCATGAGACAGTTCTTTTCAAATACAAATTCTCTAAACTCAAAACCCCCAAGGTCAAAATATGGTAACTTCATTTTTCAAACTCCAAAGGATGGTTTAATAATGATTTTGGGATTAAGACAGCCCCATTTCTATATGTGGCACACAATAGTCAGTGCAGGATAGGAGGCTGTCTGGTGCATTTCTATTCATGCTTTCATTACAGTTACACAAAGTAGATCCATTTATTATACACCCTCTTGCATCTTTTTAAAAGACCAAATTAAATGTAAAATGCAGAATGGGAGAGAAGAAAACATGATAAAGGACTCACTCACCAAGAGAAGTTGGTCCAATAAAAGATATTACCTCACCCACCTTGTCTCTCTGAAGGGCTCATTAGACATTTAATCTGAACTTCTTTTCTTAACCTTCTATTCAAACAACAAACAGCACATTGGTTTACTCCTGGACACTTAAAATGAAGCAAAACTGTAGAAGTTTATACCCCTCTGATGTCCCATCACAGTGCTGATAAAATCTAGCTGCCATGACATTGTCACTTCTGTGGTAATTACTCTGGTGATGGATACTTGTCACTATTTACAGGAAAGTTGGTACCTCATCAGACAGAACTGAACACTTCTTCGATTTGGTTACCTTTGTGAATAGATTTCAGTAATTGTGAACAAAGATGCAGTAGCATGCCCAAAAAAGAGGAAACCCAACCAGTTATTATGGACCTCTTCATTAAACTTTAACAGAATGATGCAACTCCCGGACAAATAACATTTGTCATTTTGAACACCAAACAGCCTCTTCCACCAAGTCAGCCAAAGTGACCTTTCTTGATAGAGTATCAGAGTTGTCTTCAGACACCACTGTGACAAAACTCAAGCAATAGACAGAGGTGATGGGTAAGGCATAATGGCACATGAAACAAGTTGTTTGGACTTATATCTACTGCATATACTCCTTTCTTAATTTCCAGATACCAAAGAGCAGCCACTGGAAGGAGTAAAACAAATTATCTGCCTAGTTACACTGACTGGTGAAAGACATTGCAATGCAGCAAACTGTCACTGTCAAAATATTGTTTACATGAAAATGGAAATATTGAATACTGAGAGCAAGTGTTAATTTTCATCACAAAAATGCATCCCTATATTGTGTACATTTCAAATATTGTAAGCCTTTGACCTGACAGGCAGTCTTTTTTTCCTTGCTTTGCTGAGTTTCTCTCATCCTCATAATAGAGGCTTTACATTTACAAAATGACTAGCTTCCCTCCCCCCACCCCCAGTGTAGTTTTGGCAGAAGATACCTTCCCATTTGGAAAGTCACCAAGTTCTTACCTGGCACTCTTAGCAAAACAAATCAGCAATGTTTTCACAATAAAAGGCCAACTGGCTTTTTACAAAGTCCCTGAGAATTGTTGATGTAAAATCTCTCAGTAGTGATTGCAAACAAAACATTTATTTAACTTTATGAAGTCTCAGTTGAACAGTGTTTGCTCTAGTGGAAATACGGTGACTAGGCAGCTTCAGCAGCCTGAATGAAACATTGAGACAATGTACCTGCATGATAATAAGAAGGTCAAACACTAAGATGAAAGAAGCCAGGAAGGCTCTTGAGACCTCATCACTTGGCAGAAATCCACGATTCAACTTGTCCCAGCTGATCCAGTCAGTAGTGATGACAAGCACAACTGCAGAGGTCAAAGTAAATAGAACAGTCCTGCAAGGAGAAAAAAATACTTCAGAAACAATACTGTATAATACAATTCTACATGATTTTCTCTCTCCTCTAACAGTTAACGAATACTTTATCATACTGTACTGCAGACCAAGCGAGCTTGAAGAAAATTCTGTGTAAAAGTAGGTAATTTTACTCAAGATATAAAAGGCACTGAACAGATCTTTAGTGCAAAGAAATGTGCTAGCTGTTTCCAAACAAGCTGAGAAATTAATGCTGAGCTACATCATTTTATATTTCAGTTTCATACTTTTCATATATATTGTAAAGACTAATAAAGACAAATGTAATACAATAAACCAATAATTACATGCAAAAGTACCAAGACTGCCATGGTGTCTTTGAAAAATGGAATGCAGACTCACTACCACAAAACACACTACCATTGTGTTTACAATTACCCCCATCAACTTTCAGCCCGGCGCCAAGGTTCCATTTGGGCGTATATATTCTATGTCCAAACCAGAGCTATCATCATTAAGGGAGTACCTCCAGAAAAAACTAACTACAGTAGAACCTCAGAGTTATGAACACCAGTCAACGAACACATCAGTCAACCACACACCTCATTTGGAACCAGACATATGCAATCGGGCAGCAGCAGAGACCAAACACACACACAAACAGCAAAAACAGTTCAGTACTTTGTTAAAAGTAAACTACTAAAAAAATAAAGGGAAAGTTTAAATAAAGATTTGACAAGGTGAGGAAACTGTTTCTGTGCTTGCTTCATTTAAATTAAGATGGTTAAAAGCAACATTTCTCTTCTGCATAGTAAAGTCTCAAAGCTGTATTAAGTCAATGTTCAGTTGTAAACTTTGGAAAGAACAACCATAAACTTTTGTTCAGAGTTATGAACAAGCTCAATTCCCAAGGTGTTTGTAACTCTGAGGTTCTATTCTAATCGTTTTATCCACTGCTCTGCCTCCCCTGAAGGCATCCTGGTACCTTTACCAAAGAAGAAAGACAGCACTCTGAGACTTTGTAGACTACAAAGCTCTGAACCAAATAACTACATGCAATTGTTACCCTTTACCATTAATCCCAAACTCTTGGATCGAGTACGATCAGTGTGGGTGTTTATTAAAGTGGACCTCAGAAGAATATATAATCTAGTTCAAATCCAGGCAGGGGATGAGTGGAAGACAGACTTTAGAACAAGGTATAGACACTTCAAGTATTTGGTAATGCCCTTTGGACTCACCAATGTTCCCACCACTTTTGAGCACCTAATCAACAAGATATTTTGGGATATCCTAGACCAGTTTGTTGGCATATCTAGATGATATCTTACTCTATTCCAGTAGTCAAGCAAGCCACAACCATCATGTCCGTGAAGTTCTCACATAATTGCCCTAGCAGGGGTTATATGGAAAACTGGAGAGTTGTGTATTTGAGCAATCATCCATCAAATTTTGGGGTTCATCGTGTCAGCAAACAGACTGTGCATGGATTGCAGGTATCTGCAATGTGGGATTGCAGAACCCTGGAGCATCTGAGATTCTGAGAGATTCATTGGGATTGCCAAAGGTCGCTGGCCCTATAACTGCAATCCTCCAAAAACCTGCAAGGTTTCACTGGCCCCCAGAGGCCTTTGAACTCCTGAAGATAACTTTCACATCTTCCCCAGATCTGGTCCACCCTGATCCTGACCTTTGTCCTTGAGTATGACACTTCTGTGTAGTATTGTCCAAGAAACAGGGTCCCAACATGAAATGCATCCATTTGCATATTTTTCATGACAACTCACCTCAACTGAACACATTTATGAAATAGCAGACTAGGAGTTACTCACCATCAAGCCTGGATTGGAGACTTGGCGACAATACCATGGGGGAGTCAAACACCTCATCCTAATCTTCTAACCATAAAAATCTAGAATAGCTACAATCTGCCAAGGCTCTGAATCATCAGCAGCTGATCTAGGAGTTTCACTTCCTAAATGTCTGGCCCCAAGCATCCTCCACACACCACCACTGGCCAACTGGAATGGGTCAACCAGGTGCTTAAAAAACACCTATACTGTTTCCTGAACCACTGCCAAAACAACTGGGTTGTGGTATTCCTGATCACTGTATTTGCATATAATGTGGAATACTCCTCTACCCAATCCAGCCTCTTTTTCCTCCAGCCATGGTTTTCATTCTTGTTTCCACCCTTCTGTCCTCTTGTCCACAATGGTTCCTGCTGCCTCTGATCTGGTGCAGACCATTCATTAAACCCAAGACAACCTAAATGAGCATCTGGAAGTGGTTGAAACAGCCTACAAATGCCATGCTGACAAACACCATCAGAAGCCACAACTATAAAGGCAGGCCAGAAAATATGACTGTCCACAAAACACCTGCAGACCAGCTGACCTGCACACAAATTAGGCCATCAATAAGAAGGCCCTTTCATTATTACTCAGCAGATCATTTGAATTACAACTCCCTCGATCCTAGAAGATCCACCCCGTCTTACATGTCTCCCTCCTGCAGCCTTTCCTTGACAATCCGTTTCCCAGGCAGCATATGCCATCTCCACCCCTGGTTCAAGTTCAAGACCATGAGGAGTACCTTGTCCATGACATCCTGGACTTCCAAAGTCACAGAGGGACCCTGTACTCTGTGATTGATTGGGAGGGCTATGGGCCCAAAAACACTCTTGGGAGCCAACTCATCATGTGCACACCCCTGAAAAAGTATGGGCCTTCCACAGGAATCATCCTGAGCAGCCTGGCCCAAGGCATCCAGGGATCACCCTTGAAATGGGTGTTTGTGGGAATCAAGTTTCAAATCCAGGCTTGTAGGGCTGCCATGCGGGAGCCTTATCCTCTGTGCCATCAAGCTGCAAGGGCTGACATGGCAACTGCTGCTAATACCCCACCCCAGATGCTATACCCGCTGACTCAGCAGGGTCAGATGACTTACAGCAGACTAGTGATTGGACATCATTGGGTGTAAAGCTTCCTGTTCCTGTCCCATCCCTTGCCTGAGCAACTAGTCGCTAGGCCTGTTGTTGCCCAGACCTTGAAACCAAGTCCCTGCTTCCTTGCCTGGTTCCTGTTCCTCATGCCTGCTACCACACCTCATCCCTGTTCTTGTTACCACCCCCAGTTGCGAACTCTGGCTTTGACCCTTGGCATGATTTCTGAGTCAGACTCTGGCTTGACCCATGGCATGACCCCGAGCCCGATGCTACTCCTGGCTCCAGTCACCAGACAACCCACATTACAGGCCCTGACACATCCAAAAATAAATATTTGTTTTTGGCTTCATTCCAAGGCATTTAAACTCTACTCATTTTCTTCAGCTAGGGAAGAAGGCTAAACAAACTTGAGAATACTTCCAGACATGATCAATATCCAGTAGAGTAAAAAAACGGCAAACAGATAGACACTGATAGAGACATACATTGACAGAGATAAATCTTGCTGACATCTGTGCAGGAGGGAAAAGCCATAGACCTTCACACAAGCAGCAGTGTATTCATGTGGGCATCTAGATAGTATCCTGGCATGCAGGTGGGCCTGGGGCAAAATCTGAAAGTGAGTGCCCCCCCCCCTCCCCAGAACACCAATGGTACAAAAACACTCATGAAAAAAGGATGGAGTGGGGCGTTGAAGAGCTGGCATGCCCCACACTAACCCCGCAGCAGTGGCTCCAGTCCCACAGGGGCTGAGTCGGCACATAGGATCGCAGTGCCACTCAGGTTCAGCCTGATGGAGGGGCAGCTGGGCCAAACCTGAGTAGCATTGTGACCCATGCACCGGGTTGCAATGCCACTCAGTTTGGTGGCTCTCTGAAATGGGGTCCTGGGGCTCATTCCCTGCCTCCCAGGTGGCCCTGCTGCCATGGCACACACGAGTAGACCATCAGATACATCTTGAAAATATGTTAGAACATGTCATCACCACACAGAACATGGTTGGTCCGGTCTGTATGCTGCTATTTACAGCAAGCCGTAAACTAGTGCTGCAGCAGCAAATAGACTACTCCTGTAGGAACCCTCCAAGAGTGGTAAACCAGAAGCAAAGCATCACACATTTATTTTTATTTGTATTGTAATCACCTCACATGTAACATATTTAGTTACATGCACTACCATGGGCAGCACCATGTTGTCATTTGGGTGTATCACCAGGATTTGGGCCTTACCAGATTCCAGGGTGTGCACACGAAAAAGCTTGCACACAATTTTATGCCCGCCTCACCTGCAGGGACACAAATTCCAGTGTGTGTGCCCAGTTCCTGATTTGCATGTACTCATATCTTGATGCATGCACAAAACAGAGGTTGAACATGAGAATTAGAGTTTTCATGCATGAAATCTGGGTACATGTACTTTTGAAAATCTGGCTCTTTATATGTTTAAACCAGGGTAAACCAGAAGAACTTCAGCTAAGTTAAGGTCTGATAGCAATAAAACAGTCATGCTAGAAAGGGAAAGCTATTTGAAATGGCTAAATTCAACAGAACACAAGTAAGGTTCACTTGCTTTTTTAACATATGAAACTGGAGCAGAGCCAAATATTTAATACAAGTCTTTTTGTAGCTATTTTTTAAAAACAAAATCGGTATGGTTTTGAGTTCACTGAATTTTTGCAAAATTGGAGCATTGTCCCGACACACCAGAAGGAAAGAGAAGACGCCAGGAATATCATTTAATTAGACCACAGCTTTATTAAGAAACATGAGCTATCCAGCAATAAGTCATCCAGTGCAGGTCGCTTTTCCTTTGTAATCCATACTACCTGGGGAGGGCTGCCCTTAGCTACTACACACCCACCATTAATCTGGTCTGAACAGCATAACTGGTACCCCACGTCCTCCCCTTAGACAAGAGTTATGGGGATGAGGAAGAGAGTGTTGTCTCTTTGCTGTACCAGACATTAAGAGGCCCAGGACCATTCCCCAGTTTCTTTAGGAGATTCTGTTCCAAATTCACTTTCAATTCCAGGTTATCAGGAAACTGGGCTCCCTATTGAATGATTGCCTGCA